CTGTTGTGGTTGTTGTTGACACAGCATCTACGTTTATAGAGAGTGAGGGTTGTTGTTGTTGTTGGTGGTGGTGTTGTTGCTGTTGTGGTTGTTGTTGACACAGCATCTACGTTTATAGAGAGTGAGGGTTGTTGTTGTTGTTGGTGGTGTTGTTGTTGCTGTTGTGGTTGTTGTTGACACAGCATCTACGTTTATAGAGAGTGAGGGTTGTTGTTGTTGTTGGTGGTGTTGTTGTTGCTGTTGTGGTTGTTGTTGACACAGCATCTACGTTTATAGAGAGTGAGAGTTGTTGTTGTTGTTGTTGCTGTTGTGGTTGTTGTTATTCTTGGTAGTGGTGGTGGTGTTGTTGTGTGTGAGTTGTGCTAGCCCCAAAACCAAAAAACACAGCATCTACGTTTATAGAGTGAGGGCACACTGTTGCTGTTTTGTGTGTGTGTGAGTGTGTGTGTGTGTGTGTGAGTACTTCTACCGAGAGTGAGAGTTGTTGTTGTTGTTGTTGTCACTGTTGTTATTGTTGATGTTGTTGCTGTGTGTGAGTTGTTCTTGTTGCGTGTGTGTGTGAGAGTTGTGATCGCGTCAACAGGCAGCCTTCTTCATGTGCTCCTCTCATTTTGTGATGCTTCTGACTGCTATAAGTTCTGAATATTATCAAAAATTATTCAAAACACCTGCTTTTTCTGTATTCAATCTCACAATTTGCTTCCCTGATGTTGTAGAGGGTTAAATTTTTGGCGTGGTAAACGAGACAGATCTAGATCCCAAATTGTCGGTGATGCAAAAATTAATGAGAATTCTAAACGACAGCGAAGATTTCATTCTGACTCTTCAAAAAAATCCTTGAAATTCTGTTTGACAGAAGTAAACAAAGTTAAACCATATGTGAGGCATCGTGATGAAATCAGGTGCTTGTCAAAATAATGAAATTGAAGAAAATGACATTTTTCTTCCTGTTTTGCAATCTTTAGCTAATTTTTATTATTTGGCTGAACACTTTTTATGTCTAATTAAAAAAAAAAAAGAATTACACTTTTTAAGGACTCTCAAGATTTGGAAGTTACAAAACTTTGGCGGCCATTTTCTTGGTAATTTTAACACCGAAACCAGGTAACACCCACGTCCTTCAATCTGAAATATCTAGACTTCTTTTGAAGTTACATCTGTAATTTTTTCATCGAAAGCAAGACAAACAAACAAGCTTTATGGTGGTACGAGTAATTCTATATGCCTAAAAATTAACGAGCACCGATTCCACCAGGTCGTGACACATAGAGAGGTGAGCAGAGTAAGCCTGATTCCTTATTTGGACTTCTCTGCTGACGTCCACCCCTTGGCGCTCATATGACTTTATGCCGTTGTGAGCGCCGTAAAACCTTACTAAAACAAACGTATCCCTCTGTTGTTTCTGTCTTGTCTTTGCCTGGCATTAAACATGCAGCTCTCTCCAACAAACGTGTCTCTCTAACGCGTGTCTTTGTGTCGTCCATGTGTCCCAGCGTGCCTCAAGAGGACAGCGACTTTGAGCGGGAGCAGACGCCGCCCACCCCCCCGCCCCGGCGACTCAGTCGGAAGGGCGCGTCCTTCAAGCTGGGCTGTATCGGCAAACAGGGCAGCGATGAGAACCCTTTGATGAGGAGACCTGGACAGCCCCTGAGGGTACCGCACAACAATCAGGTGACTCACACGCACATATACACACACATGTACACTCACATGTACACACACGCACACCATGACACACATACACCCGATGAGGAGGCCGGGATAGCCCCTGAGGGTACCGCACAACAATCAGGTGACTCACACGCACATATACACACACATGTACACACACGCACACACACACACACACATGATGAGGCGACCGGGACAGCCCCTGAGGGTACCGCACAACAATCAGGTGACTCACACGCACATATACACACACATGTACACACACACACACACACAGACACACTTACACCCGATGAGGAGACCAGGACAGCCCCTGAGGGTACCGCACAACAATCAGGTGACTCATTCGCACACTTGCATATACACACACAGACATGTACACACATA